TCCTCCAGAGGTAGACATCTTCTTTTCTTCCCTTTTCTCTCTTCTCTGCTTTCAACTCTTTGGCTGCATGTTCGGGAGGCTTTCTTTGCACAGGAGAAAAGATGGCCCCAATCTTTCCTGGCTCATCTGGTCTTTGTGGCTCACCATCTCAAACAGAAAGAGACTTCCTCCCCACATCTATTGGTTATCACCGGAAAAGAATCTTGACTGGCCTTGCTGGATGGCCTCTGGGGATGTCATAGGGTGACTGGCCAGGGTGGGTCACATGTTCACCACTCTGATGGCTGAAATAAGGCCCTTCAATCGTCTCAGTAGCACCACATGAAAGGAGCAGGAGGAAGTTCTGGAAAGAAGGGAACACAGGACAGCCACAGAACTAGAGGCGGTCTTCTACACTTGTAAATTATCCATGTGTAGTAAATAAGAAATTGTCTTCAGAACACTAAGCGAATCTGAGGCTGGCCTATGACTCATGGGCTGTCTCTAGGTATTTCTTTATTTCTGTTTCATTGCCTGCTCATCTTTCCTTCCTCCCACTGAGTTAGGAACTCAAGTAATGGAAGTCAATATGGCCCTATCCCAAGTCTCAATATATTCACGGTCTAGCTCAGAACAGCAGCACATAAACAGTATTCAATCAGATAATGGCAGTAGGTGCTCAGGATGCTGGCAATTTATTCTGCCATGCATCTAGCAGGATGGGGGTAAGGGTGGGGGTGGGGGTAGAGTTCATCTTTCTATGCTACTCTGAAAATTCAGTCAGGCAAAACTTAACTGCCAATGCTAATCTCCCAGCCCCACAGAAGGCTGCTCTAATTCGTATGAAATGACCATCGTTTTCGGTATAATCCACATGTTTTTCCACCTAAAAGTATGAGGCTAGCAAATATTTGGCTTCCAGGAGGAATCTGATACCATGGTGAGAGAACATAGTGAGAAAGGAATAAACTTTTAATTAATGTATTCATGGAAAATTAATCAGCAGATTCCACAGCCAAGAAGGAGTCATTGGATAGAACACACACAAAGTATTTTAAGTGCCATATTAAAGACTGAAGAGCGCTGGTGGGGTAGGGGTTATGTGTTGGGCTGCCATTTGAATAGTCAACAGTTCAAAACCACTCCACAACAGAAAGACTGGGTTTTCTACTCCTGTGAACCACTGAAGTCTCAGAAACCCACGGGGGCGGGGGGTGGAGGGGTTGTGATGAGTCAGCAGTGACTGATGGCAGTGAGTTTGGTTTGGTTTGTGGATGAAAGACTAAGATGCCCTGAGGGTCCGGTGTTTGAGTGCTGGGCGGCTAACTGAAAGATTGTGCATTTGAACCCACCAACCACACTGCAGGAGAAAGACTCGACGGGGGTTGATTATTTTCGCGGTATGAGGGCGTGGGGTGGTAATGTGCTTCAGGGTAGTGTTTTCCTGGCTGGTCTCCATAACAGTCGTTATGAAAACAGATGTTTCAGACTTCTGTTCTGTGACCTCTGGATTTGGACTGCCGGTCTTTTGATTAGTAGATAAACACAATCCCCAAACCAGGCCTCCTATAGAAAATCAAGGGCAAATTCAGACCACCAGTGAGCACTGCCATCAAGCAGTCTTGGGAAAATGAGCATCGTTCAGATCTGAGGCCTTGCGGTCATCCCAGCTACTGAAAGTGTCATTCACAGGAGGATACAGGAAATGTTCTGAGGAGAGCTGCTACTAATCCAGCTCAGACTTTACTCCTCTTCCCCCAAGCTCAATCAATACCCCATTCCCACAGGATGAGTTACCGGTAAATACCCCAGCCCTCTCACGTTGACTTTGTCTGTAAATATCGGTCATGTTGGCACTACGTTTTACTTTTCCCTTCCACTCCAGTCAGAGCACATGCAGGATCTGAGGACATATTTGTAGAACGAATGCATGCATGCTATTTCTAGAATCCAGACAAGGAGACAAAGGTTTTCATTTGCTTTTTTAAGGCAGGAAATGTTTATATTGATATATAGGATAGTAACCAAATGAGAGGGATTAGTTTCCATAGAAAAACAGTAACAATAAAAGACTTCTTTGAATCCAGAGAAGGTTGATGATTTCAAAGAAACTGAAGTTTAACCCAACAACTATCATCCAAACCAAAAGGTGTGGAGGGCAGTCTACAGAAAACAGGAACCCTCGTGGCCAGGGCACTTACATTGGGTAGAGTAATTGAGATTTGCTGGTGGATTCGGTGTGGAATAAATAGAACAGATTGAGTCAAGGAGGCTCCCAAGTCACTGAGGTGGATCACCTGGAGGGATAGAATCATCATTTGTATGTCCTTAGTGCTTCAGTGACATGCGTGCAGATGTCATGACAAACTCTATGCTGTCAACAGTCAAAATAAGCACCTGGATGAGCTATGGTTCCTGGGCTTTGCAAGTGCTTTGCAACCAGTGATTAGCCTAAAGGTTGACCACTCTGACCCAGCCAGCAGCACTGTGGAAGAAAGGTGTGATCTGCTTCCATAAGGATTATTCTGATTAGGTGCCGTCCAATCAGTTCTGATCCTGTGCCCAACAGAAGAAACACTTCCCAGTCCTGCCCCAACCTCACAATGGTGTCTGTGCTTGAGCCCCCTGTTGCATCCACTGTGGTAGTCCTTGGCCTTGAGGGCCTTCCTCTTATTTGCTGCCTCTCTATTTTACCAAGCATGATGTCTTTCTTTGGGGACTGGTCTCTCCTGACAGTATGTTCAAAGTATGTAAGACAACATCTCACCATCCTAGCCTCTAAGAAGCGATCTGGTCATCCTTCTTCCAAGACAGATGGGTTTGTCTTTTTGGCAGTCCATAGTACTCTCAATATTTTTTGCTAGCACCACAATTCAAATGCATCAATTCTTCTTGGGTCTTCCTTATTTTATAAAGATGACAGCAAGGAAAAAAAAACTTGCAGAGAAGTTAACTCTCAAAATCTATTCACTGGCAACAAGGTAAAAACAAACATTACTAGATGAAGGAGAGAGAGAAACTCATTGTTCTGTCTATTCTTCAATTGCCTAAAAGTGTGTGTCTACTTTCTGAGCAGAGGTGTTCACAGATAGAGGGGTGTGTTTAAAAAATTGTTAGCTTTCCTTCAATTGAGCTTCATTTTACTAAGGAGTTAGAAAGTTAAGCCATTGTTCCTTTTTTCAAAAGTCAGTGTGTAAAACTACAGGGGCTCAATTCCCTGAGCCTGAGTCCCAGGAGTGCGCTTTGTTGACTGTGGAATCACCAGGAAGATTTTTAATCCTCTTAAGCCTCAGTGCTCACATCTCACAAATGAGCCTCTGAGACATCATCCAAAGGCGAGTGTCATTAAATACTAACAGCTTCCACTTAAGCAGACATTTAGTTAAACAAATATTTGGCCTGGTCCATATTATAATTCATACCCTGTTTTATGTTCCCCCTGGCTATTAACACTTGATGGTGTTTCCTTAGCCGTGGTTTATGTAAGCAGAGGTCAAGCCAGTTCTAGCTCAATTATTTGGTCATATTCTGAAATTAATGAAGTGCTTATGTGTGTCTTTACAGACACCAATTTGCTTTACTTGGCCACCCACCTCCCCTCAGAGTCACAAATGAGTGGATTTGATGACCGCATGGATCAGGCAAGACTGTGGAAACCCATCACCACAACTGAGAATGTCATTCAAAGCTCAAGCTACTGTTAGTACTGTCATAGGTTCTTCAAAGCAAAGATGAGCCTTCCATCCCTTTGTGAGGATGGCAGGCAATCGGTACAGACATCAATGGCTATGTCAAAGAAATGGAACGCAGGGTACTAAGTAACTGTGGCTAGACATGTGCCACAAGGCATTCAGCACTCAATTGAGTAAGAGCTCATTGCCATAGTCTCCAAGAGTTTCCACATCTTAAATTACTAGAGCTTCCTCACTGAAGGTGCAGAAATAAGTTGGCTATCAATTGCAAGAGTGCCTGGGGTTTTAACAGCTTATATTCAAACAAGCAGCCATCTAAGGGAGGAGCCAACTAAGTCCACATCAAAGAATCACACCAGCCTATGTGATCCAAAGATGACAAAAACAAAATCCAAATATGAGGAAAGGAAATGTAGCAGAACTTAAATTGTAAACGCCCACTTTGTAGGCTTTGGAGGCTTTGGAGGCTTCTGGCTATGGAGGACAGTGGGAGCCCAAATTCCGTCTGCAGAATACCAATCAGATTAAGCCTTCAGCAGGTATGACCCTCTGGCCATAGTTTAGGGACGCAAACAGCTTTGCTATCAGACAGAGATGACTGTAAATCTGATTACAGTGGCTGGAACTACGCTATAATGTGATACCTGGTCAGTTGACCACCCTTAATTCAATATTGCTGGTGGTCTTTGAAATTTTTGTTCATCTTTATTTTTTTTCTTTCTGTGTTGTTTGTTTTGTTTTTGTTGTTGTTTTTTTTTAATTGGTTCTGTGAGGTTCCCCAGTTTATAAAGCACAAAAGGAGTGGATGTATGGAGATAATAACTGATACCATGGTTTATTGAGGATGGTAGGGGGAGTTGGGAGCAAATGATGAATGCTGTAGTGGGGAGGGTGCACTAGAACCAATTGTGATGAAGTATATTCAACTCTTTTAAAAAGTGGAAATGCATGATAGGCGAATTTTATATCAATAAAACCAAATTATTTGAGTTCCCTTGGCCAGCTCTCAGAATCTTTATTTCCTCAAATATAAAACAAAAATTAAGGAGCCCTGGTGGCTCAGTGGCTATGCACTCAACTGCTATCCGAAAGGTGGATGGTTTGAACCCACCAGCCACTCGGTGGTGGAAAACGTGGCAATCTGCTACATTGGAAAGCGAGCCTGTGTAGCAGTTCCACTCTGCCCTCTGGGGTCTCTATGAATCAGATTTCCTGGATGGCACACAACAATTCAAGAAGCTGTACTTCCAGACTTCTAAGAGCTCTCTCTTCAGAATTCCACAATCCCTGAGTTTCCTATCTGAAAACTATTCCTTCCATTTGATTTAGGATTGGATCAAATAGTTCATCCCACCAATTCCAACTCCTGGTGACCGATACGACAGAGCAGATCTGCCCCATGGGGTTCCCAAGACTGCCATCTTCACAAAAGCAGACCTGGCTCCCACTGAGAAGGATGGTAGGTTCTAACTGCCAACCTTTCCATTTGAAGCTGGGCACTGTAACCACTGCACCTGCACCAGGACTCCACTTTGAACCTATAGTCATAAATTATATTCAATTCTCAACTTTGAAATCAAATCTGGGTAGACTTTAAGTAGATGCTGCTTATCTTACACAAATTATACCTTCATAGAGTCATTTATTTTAGAATCTCTATGTGTGAAATATGTTTGTATGAAACACTTATTTTAGCATCTTAAAATTTAGTATTCAAGGATTATTGCCTTTAAATATATTTGAAAATGTAAAAACATGTAAGTAATTTCTAAGAATAAGTAGGGCTGGCACAATCTGAAGAGTGAGTCCACATATGTATGTTCCTGAAAGGCATGCATCGCTCAGGAGCTCCGGGAGCTCAGGTCAGCAGACTAGGGTTGGGGATCAAGTTCACAGACTCAGACCTCATCCCAGCACATGATGTGATTCAAACCTGAGACCTTTCTATAATTACAATATGTAATCTCACATCAGACTGGGGGAAAAAAATTTTTTTTTATGATGAACTTGTTTGTCACTAACACGGACATTTCAATTTTATTTTTCCTCCTTTTTTTTTTAAGGAATCTGAAGGAATTTGTTTAAAAGAAATATTTATATATATATGCATATATATACACACGCATAGATATCACAGCCCAAGAAATGAAATCAACAACACCTCCATTTTTTTATACCTCTCCCCACTCCCTGTTCCCACCCCATCCCTGGCTTCCTCATCGTCATCAAAGTCTTATCTAGTGGTGTATGAATGACATTTCTTCTCTTTGTGTTTCCTTATAACAATGGCGACATTAGATATTTATCTTTGTGAGATTGACTGAGTTTGATAAATATAATGTTCCCTAGTTTTGTCCATGTCTGTTTTAAGAGAGTTACCACTGCTTTTTTATTGATGCATAAAATTCCGTAGTATGAATGTACCAGAACTTGTTTATCCATTCCTTTATAGTTGGGGTTTTTGGTCATTTCCATGCTTTTTCTATTGTGGAAATTTCTTCAATAAACAAAGGGGTACATATGTCTGTTCATGTTATATTCTTAATTTCTTTAAGGTATATACCCGATGGAGAGATTGTTGGCTCATAAAGTACTTGTATTTGCATTTATTTAAGGAAATTTCATGCTGACTTCCAAATGGTTGTACAATTCTATAGTTCCACCAGCAATGTAAATGTGTTCCTATGTCTCCACAGCCTCCCCAGTACTTGTTATTTTCTGTTTTATTGAATTTTACCAAAAGTATCAGTGTGAGGTGCCATCTCATTGTTGTTTAAATTTGTTGTTTAAATCTTATTGCTAATGATCACGAACCTTCCTTCACATGGATTTTGGCTGCTTGTATGTCATCTTTGGAAATTGTCTATTCATGCCTTGTGCCCCCTTTTTAATCGGATTATTGGTATTTTTTGTGTGAAGATGTTGTAGTTTTCTATAGATTTAGGAGATTAGCCCTTTATATGATCTATTATTACTGAATACTTTTTTCTTAATCTGTAGCTTCTCTGTTGACTCTTTCGATGAAATCTTTTGTTGTGCATAGCATATTTTCAGTAGGCCTCCGGTTTTGTTTAGTCTTCAATAGTGTGGATTTTTTCCATTATATTCGGTACTGTGTTTATACCTTGTATTAGGTCCTTAAGTTTGTCCCTATTCTTCCATTGATAGTCTCAATAATTGTGTGGTTTATATGTAGGTCTTTGATCCATCTTGAGTTTGTTTTTTTACATGGCGTGAGGTGTGGGTCTTGTTTCATTCTTCTTCAGGTGAAGATCCAGATTTTCCAGCACCATTTGTTGACAAGGCTCACTCATGCCCACTTAATGTGTTTTAGCTCTTTACCAAAAACAAGGTGTCCATAGGTACTTGGTTGTAGTTCTGGAACCTCAATCCTACTTCATTGATCTTTATATGAATTGTTGTACCGGTACTAAGCTGTTTTTATTACTGTGACTATGAAGTAGGTTTTAAGGTCTGGGAGTGAAAGGCCTCCTACTTTGTTTTTATATTTTAACAGTGTTTTATTCATCCTAGATTTCTTTCCATTCTGTATAAAGTTGGTAATCAATTAGGTTTTCCGTTTCTTTGAAGATTGTGGTGGGATTTGGCTCAGAATTGCATTGACATTGTAAAGTAATTTTGGTTATACTGGCATATTCACAATATTTAGTCTGCCTATCCAGGAACATGGTTGTTCCATTTGTGTAAGTTCCTTTCCATTTCTTGGATGATATTTCTATTTTTCTTTGTATGAGTCTTCTGTTTCTCTGGTAAGATTCATTGCTAAATATTTTCCCTTTTGTGTAATTATTGTAAATGCCTTGTGCCCACTTTTTAATCGGATTATTGGTATTTTTAATACCAATTAGATATTGATATTTAATACCAAAAAGATATTGTTATCTTTTTTTGGTATCATCATAATTAATATACAAGAATCCAACTAATTTCTGTATGTTGGTCTTATAACCTGCTATGCTGCCAAATTTTTCAGTCAGTTCAAGTAATTATTTAACTGAATCTATAGGGCTTTCTATATATAGGACTATGTCATCTGCAAATAAAGAGATACTTATTTCTTCAGAAATAATTTTACATGGAAAACATTTAAGAATAGACAAAATATGCAATTTCTTGGTCTTTGATTAACATGATTGGAGCCTTTGGGGCACAATGATTAAAGTGCATGGTGGCTAACTTAGCAGTCTCACCATCCACTCTGTAGGAGAAAGACGTGGCAGTCTGCTTCCATAAGCATCTATAGATAGTCCTGGAAACCCAACGGCCCAGTTCTGCTCCATCCTACCTATAGATTTGCTGTGAGTATGTATCAAGTCAACAGAAATGGGTTTGGGTTGTTTGTTTAGTTTTTTGGTTTAGTGGTTCTTTGAAGGGGTCATAAAACCCTCTAGGATCTTAGTAAAGTATTAATAAAACCAATTAAAGTATGCCTCAAGCCTACCCCATGTGATTGATTTCAAAGTACGTCAACCAGGCTCTCTCTGGGGACAAGGTAACCTCATTATCAACAAGCTTGTATTCTAAGTACAAGTAACCCAGTGGTACCTTAGGCTCACAGCACTGTACTGGGGATAAGACGGCTGCCTTCCCCACACAACCCTCTGTCTGGGTCTGAGGTTTCATAAAAAGAATAATGTGGAGAAGGAGGAGTAAAGAGGTAAGTGGGCGAAGAGGTAGGGAGAAAATGGGAAGAGGAAAAACAGTGGCTATGGCAGCAGTCCACTCTTAGTCAAACAAAGAATTTCTAAGAATACAGCACTACCTGTGTACGTGACTAATTGGCTTGCAAATCACCTCCTCCGTTTGCTTGTTCTACAATAGCGATCATTCAGTGTTGCTGATGACAGACAGCCCTGGAGAAAATTGCATCTTATTAGCCAGTTTTGCACATGGCTTTTATGTATAGAAGGATTCAGAGAGAAAGATCTTAATCTCTGGTTCTCCGACCTGGACAGGTAGACATGAGACTGGCTTATGACGTCTTTCAAGAGATGATGTTCCAGACTATTTGGTCTCTGAAGAAAAATGAAAGAGAAAAAAGCAAGAACATTCTAAAGCCTAAATCCAAACCATAATTTTATTAGCAGAGTACCAATAAACAAATCATCTGCTGGATTCTGTACCGCGGCGATTTTTTTATCTGGGTAACTTTGTGTTAGAGCAACAGCTACTGATATTTTTCTTACTAAAATATAGTGAGAGTAAGGCCTTTGAAGAGATGCACTGACACAGTGGTTGCAACAATGGACTAAGTGCTTATATCTGCTAAGCACATTCTCTACGTAATTCCCATTCCCCAAGATAGTTCTGCAGGATGAATTTTATGAGTTCCATGTTCTCATGAAGGAAACAGGAATAAAACAGCAATCGATTCCGGTTCCAACAGCAAGTCAAAAGAGAAATTGAAATGTGAACCCAAATCTTCCCTATATGAGGCCTTTTACTCATCTCTAGCTCCTATCTATTTACATGTGTGATATTTCTATGTACATACCCATGTGCATGGATCATTACTATACTTGGATCTGTACTTCTTGTCTTGTAAGAAATATTGTTCTCATTAATTGCATCCTACCAGCTGATTTTGAGTGAATTCCAACTTATGGTGACCTCATAAAAAAAAACAGAATTGTATAGTCCTGTATCACCGTCATGATGCTCGCTTGAGTCTATTGTGCAGCTACTGCAGATTCTGAGTTCCTCCTTATCTAAGGGCTTCTTCTTCCAGCAGCATGTGGGAAATATTCTGTTGTGATCTGTAAGGTTTTCATTGGTTAATTTTCAGAAATAGATGCCCAGGTCTTTCTTTCTAGTCTCTCTTAGTCTGGAAGTTCCAACCTAAGAAATGAAGATCTGAAATTATCATATACGTCATTGTCTTCAGCGTATGCTTATATACGAGAACAAATCCCAGGTTGGCTAGAGAACAAATCCCATGACACTCCAATATGTATAAGAAAGAGCTGTATATCCAAAAGTAATTATATATCAAGAAGGCAACTCAGCCCAGTCCAACTCAAGTCCAGAAGTCTGATACTAATCCATAAGTCCTTCTTCAGACTCATGCAGCCACATGCAATGATGCAAACTGATGGAAGATCACAGGCCGGTGGGTGCAGGGTCATGTGGATCCAAGGTCGGTGGAAACATGGCAGGGCACCAGCCACTCTCAAGGTGACCACCAGAATCCCAGCAAGCAGGAAGGCAGAGAGCAAAGGAGGCTTCCAGAGTCCTCCTTATCAGAAAGCCACACCCCCAAGGAAGCACTATCAGGCTGTGACTCAATTGCCGAGTTGAATTCCACCCCTCCACTTTCATAAGTCTTCATGTTGATATAAAAATCATCACACTATCACATTTGTCATTTTCCTTCTCTGCAAACTAATGCTCAGCATGTTAGATTTTCTCTGGGACCAATTTCCCACTACATTATGAAGA